ACAAATATTCCTCTTACTACCTGCGACTACTAATCACTCCTAGCACTACTACTAGTTTTGGTACGACTACCACCACCACGTCCTCTATTAGTACTACTACTACTACTACTACTACTACTACAACTACTACTACTGCCACCACCACTACTACCACCACTATTACTACTGCTACTACTTCTTCTTCTACTGCTACTGCTTACTACTACTACTACTACTACTACTCCTCCTCCTGCTGCTACTACTATTGCTGCTACTACTACTATTCCTACTGCTGCTGCTACTGCTACTCCTACGACTACTACTACTACTACTACTACTACTACTACTACTACTGCTACTACTGCTACTACTGCTACTACTACTATTACTACTACTATTCCTACGACTCTCTCATCTTAAGAAAATCTGTCGCGCCACTGTGGGCCTTCGGGGGGACGAGCCCGCTTCGGGCAATTCACCGCACTAAGAGCGCTTTCGCTCTGCTTGAAGAGCAGCTCATCCCTTCTCCTACCGTGGCCCCTCGCCTGCTTGCAAGCGGCGCTGGCGGAGCAACCTGCGGCTCCCCTCAGCAGGGAGGCACAAGTTGAAGGCTTAGGCTTCCCTCTGAGTCGCCGCTCCCTGCACCTCTGCTTGCAGGGCCGCAGGGAGTTCACTCACCTGCTCGCCCTTGCCTGTGGTTTTGCCTCTGCCCTTGCCAGCAGAACCCACGGTCACTGTGCCAGACCAGGACCCCAAAGCAATCCACGAAAGCTGCAACACAACGTGGAAGTCGTGAACACCTCATCAACAAGCCGTAAAAAAAAAGCCTAGCCTCCATAATACTCGAATCAGCAAGCTGTAAAGAACACATCCTAAAGGGCAATCCTCAGGCCATGAGAAGTGGTTGGCTGGGGCTTGGCCTTACCGGCACGGAGTGGGTACTTTGGAGAGACGCTTTCACGGAAGCCGATTTAATGGGGTGTCCTTGGTCATGGCTTGGGATTGAATAACTTGAGTGGACTCACAGGTCAAGATTTCGGATTGATGTATGTTGGGTTTGGTCGCAGGATTTTCCTCTAGGGCCGGGGAGGAGCAGTTGGATTTGAGGCCAGGTTTTGGTGGTGGCGATCGGCGACGGCGATGGGCGATCCATTGGAGTCAGGGCTTGTGGTTTTGGCGGCCTCCGATCCTACGTCGCCAGCAAAGCCTCATTCTCTAAACGCCAGAAGCCGAAGCATCTAACACCCAATACAACTTCCAAAGCCTGTTCGGATATCCCGCGCTGAACCCTGCCAGTAGAACTCGTCGTTGTTGCTTGTTTGATTGCGTGTATTTGGACTTGACGTGCCAACGCACCATGGGCGTAGTGCAATCAACGGACCTACCGTTGAGACACCTTGCGTCCTACCGTTGTGGCACCTTGCTCGGCTTGTGTGCTTGTCAGAGTCAGAAACACATACCCCTAACCTTGCAACAGAGTCGACCCCCTGCCAGCTGAGGACTTCCTAGTGTCCTCGCAGTCATCGCCGCTGGGATCCACAGACCTTGTTCTTTTTGGGAGTTTGGGGTTGAGAACAGAATCTTTTACAACCATTGGTCGCCTGTAGGTTCTGGGAAAATAGCACCGAGAAGGAGAGAGAGAGAGAGAGAGAGAGAGTATATGTTTATATATATATATATATGTACAGGTGGGTGTGTATATATATATATATAATATGGAGACGTCCTCTCATCCTCTCACCAAGGTTCCCAGTGGGCATGACGTATTTGGCAATGGAAGGCAGCATGGGTGCAGCAGCCCACGCCTTGAATGCCCCGAACTTGGCCTCCTGGTTCTGGCGCTGGTGCCTGTTTCGAGGACTTCTGTCAGGACGGGGGCTGGATGAGGTCGATCACTGACAGAAGCCTTCGGCACCCATGTGTAGGCAGTGCCCATGGCAGGAGGGGTGCACAAGCTGCTCTTGTGCGATGCCAGTTGGAACAACCTGTCCGCGGTGCACTGGCACTTCCAGGGCAATCCGAATCCCTCCGCCTTGTCTTGGTATGCCTTTCAGTTGACAAGCACTTACCCGTTCCTGGGGCATATGGCTACTGCTAGCACTCTGGCTATTGAGCTGGTGGCGCCCTTTCTCTTCTTTTCGCCCAACAAAAGCTTGCGAATGCTGGGCCTGGCCGGAAGCAGTTTGCTGCAGTTGGGAATACTTGCAAGTAGCTTGCTGTCATTTGAGCAGCCCGGCTTTCCTGACTTGCGCGAATGAAACTGACCCAACCACTAACAGATCCGTGCATTAGCCTAGGGATGCCGGACAAGCTCAGGTGGCAACTACGGCCCCTTGAACTTTTACTTCTTGGCCCTGGGTCTCTCGTTGCTGCAGTCTCACAGCCGCCAAGAACTGACGAATGCTCCTCGTCCGGGAGAGGAGGAAGCAGCTCCACGCGAGGCCGACGGTTGCCGAAACCCAGTGCGAACCCTCGGACCTTCTCGCCCAAGCCACCGGAAGCTTCAGCTTGCCGAGCTTTCACCTCTTCAGGTCTGGCCAGCTGCCGCGGCCGCTGCCGGTTCTGCTTTGGCCGTCGGCGTTGCCACCGCTGTGCTGCCCGGGAGTCCCGGCCTTTTCTTGCATAAGAGGTCGGCAAGAAATCAAGCAGCCAAAAGCATGCACGTAGCCACAAGTTGACGGGTTTGGGGGTTGTGATAGATTCGATCGACGCTGTTTGCATGACTCTTTTTGTGGTTGCCGGCACTCCCAGACCACTCACATCCACCTGCCGCCACCGCCACTGGTCATGGATCAAAAAATCTCTTCCCAAAACCCCGAACGTGTTTGGCTTTGGCAAGACAAGAGCTGATCGCTGATCACGTGATCCCGACGAAACATGCAAGCTCAAAACCCACTGCAACCCAACACCCAAAGCCAAGATCCTGGTAACAATTCTTGAAAAACTTTCAAGAGCAGCAAAGCCTCCAAACGAGGACCCCGACGCGCTGCCCCAGTGCTGGTCATGCGGCGTACGCCCACGTCATTGCTGCCTGGCTTTGGTGATGCTTTGGGGACGGGGTGGGCGATTGTTTCGTGCGGTCAGCATTTGCAACGTCGAGCTCCTGGTCCAAAGTGTTAGATTAGGTGCTCTTCTCTCTTCCATCCTTAACCCCTGAACCCCAAATTCTGAAGCATGCAAACATCACTTCAAGGCCCTCGAAACCCAAAAGGCGCTTCTCTCCTCCGTCGCCGGGCTTCAGGGCCTGATCTCGCTGACCTCCGGCTTGGAGTTCGACGCCCGTCCCAACTCAGTAGGGCCCACTAGAAAGGGGTAAAGGACACTAGGGTTGCCGAAGTAAGTGGTTGCAGTAAAAGAAGTAGCGGAAGCAGCAGTAGCAGTAGCAGTAGCACTAGTAGTAGACCTCGCCATCGTCGTCGTCGTCGTAGAAGTAGTAACAGTTGTGGTAGTGGTAGTAGTAGTAGTAGTAGTAGTAGTAGTAGTTGTTGTTGTTGTAGTTGTAGTAGTAGTTGTAGTAGTTGTTGTTGTTGTTGTTGTTGTTGTTGTTGTCGTTGTTGTCGTTGTTGTAGCTCTACTTGTTCCAGCAGTTCTAGTAGTGGTAGTTGTCGTCTTCGTCGTAGTAGTAGCAGTAGCAGTAGCAGCAGCGGCAGCAGCAGCAGCAGCAGCAGCAGCAGCAGTAGTAGTAGTAGTAGTAGTAGTAGTAGTAGGTAGCAGTTGTGTGGTGCTGCCGCTGCTGCTGCTGCTGCTGCTGCTGCTGCTGCTGCTGCTGCTGCTGGTGGCGGTGGCGGCCGTGGTCGTGGGTAGGGTAGTGGTACTCTTACCACTACTCCTACCACCACTACTACCGCAACCGCTACCACTACTACTACTACTACTACTACTACTACTACTACTACTACTACTGCCACTGCTACTACCACTACTACTACTACGACTACTGCTGCTGCTACTACTACTGCTACTACTACTACTACTACTACTATTATTACTACTACTACTACTACTACTACTACTACTAAGCCTACAACTACTGCTACTAGTGCTAGTAGCAGTAGTACCAGGAGCAGTAGTAGAAGTAGTAGTAGTAGTAGTAGTAGTAGTAGTAGTAGCAGTAGCAGTAGCAGTAGTAGTAGTAGTAGTAGTAGTAGTACCTAGGTATCAGCAGATTAAGAGTGAAGGAATACGAGGTTTAGGGCTGAGGAATGCTGAGGACCTAGATCAACCAATCAAGATAATACGATCAGAACGCGTGAGAAAGACAGTATCTGGTTATCACCAGTGTCAGAATACCCGTGAGAATGCTAGCAAAGGGTAGTGACAGCCTCGAGGACATCACACCATCATGATGACAAGAACGATGCGAAGAAAAACAATAATAACGCTACCTGCTTGGCCACAGCATAGGGATGTCAAACAGAAGAACGAGTAAGGATAATGGCAACATGCTGTCGACTGGGACCGCTGTAAATGCTGATACTGTTGATGATGGACATCGGTCGCAGCAGCAACACCAAGTCGACACAAAGTCTTGAAACTCTCTTGGCCCCGACAAGAAGCCAGGCCGTTGGGATTCTCCTACTCGGCGCAAGCCAGTCTGTATTCGTCCTGGACCTGCTGAGCCACCTGGTTTGGGCTTTACCGTGTAGAAGTGGTTTCTGTTGAGGCCGGCAGTGCACTACTTGAGATGTGTGGAGATGAGCATGTTTTGGACGCTTTGCCCTTCAGAGGCTCGGATTGACACCTGTCCTCGGTCTTGAGTTGATGACTGCTTTTCTTTCGTGTGTACATTCAAAACAAGACTGCCGAGACTCGGCCTAGATAGTTAGATCCGCAGTCAAGTCGACCTTAAGTAGGAGACGCCGAACCCAGGCCAGGCATCCCCACATTCTCAGCTGTTGCAGCCTCTTGGCTCGTGCTTGAGAGTTTGGGGCTTGGGCTCTGTCGCGCCCCGGGCATGTCGGTTTCGTGCCTGAGTCGACAGCACGGGGTTTCTTAAGTGCAGACTTGGTACATGTGGAGTCTCATTCCCAGTTCAGACGGGCCTGTGTGACGTACACGAGGAGTGCTTTGCTCGCATCGTCTCCACGACTGCAGTCAATGTGGGAAGATGCAGATGCTGCCATTCAACGCTTTGCGGCTTGGCAAATCCTCCGGTATCCTTGACGCCCCATACCAAAACCCTACACGAATCGACAAAAGACAAGACTTGGAAAATCAACTTGATTCAAACCGCGGAGTAGCTGCCCTCACTCCCAGATTATCCGATCCCAAACCTTTGATGACAGCACCTATGCAGACACCAAGATAACAAAGTCTCGGAGTTCAGTCGTACTAGGTTAAGGGCTGTGGCACTCAATCATCTGAGTTTAGGCATATTAGGCTTCGGGTGAGTCAATGGCTTTTGCAATCATGCAAAGACCTTTCATCCCCACAATGTTGTGCTTCCGGCGAGGTTGTTCAACCTGCGACGAAAGTGGCCGACGCTCATCCGCAACGAATCGCACTTGAAATGCATGTGTGGGTACTTGTGTATTTATCTACTTGTATAACCGCCGCCGTACTCACAATCTAGTGTGTCCGTTTCTTGACGTGGCCGTCCTTTTCGCTATCGCTCTCTCTTTCTCTTCATGCCTTTCGCTGGCTTTCGCGCATGAGTCCTTCTATCCTTTTACTTTCTCTAACTCTCGCTGTCTCTCTCGTTCTCTCTCTCCGCTCTTTCTCGTTATCTTTTGTGGGTATGCAACGTTGTTAAGTGCCTTCACGTATACATGCTTTATCCCAGGAATATGTCAACATATGTGTCTCAAATTTATGTACTTGCAGTCTGGCTCGACGGCCGCTAGCTGAACAATGAATAACTGCACCTTGATTCATACATGCAGAAAGCACTGCACTTCAAAGTGTAGCAGTGGCTGCCGCCTTCACCCTGAACTGAAACCTGAGAACCAAGAGAACTCGAAACTCTCTGACTCAGGCAGCCTTGCCGTCGCGTGTGTTCGACCCTCCGCCGAATTTCTTCTCCAATACCACCGGAGTGGAAGGCCTGGCGGGGGATTGAGCGAGTGCTTCCGTAATCCGTTACATTCTTCACATCCGTCTGTCCTGGGCAGGTAGTTCGGATGGGGATGGGGAAGATAATGAAGACGGTGCTCATGTTCATCGTCATCATCCTCATCATCGTCATATTACAGTGTTGGTAATGTTCTAGCAGCAGCAGCAGCAGCAGCAGCAGCAGGACTATAGTAGTAGTAGTAGTAGTAGTAGTAGTAGTAGTAGTAGTAGTTGCCGTTCTCCTTCTTCTCATCGATTCATAGTGGTACCGCTGTCATTGCTCTCATTGTTGCCGCTTGTTTCTATTGTTTCTTGTGGTAGTTGCTATCAGGAAGACTGTCAATAGCATGCTTCGTATTTCCATGATTGCTTCTAAGCACCAACTTGCCAGCATCCGCAAAGTTCCCTTCCCAGTGAGGCCGGCCAGTCTTTGCACTCGAGGGTGCCCAGTCGCGTGGCCTCATTCGCAAGGCCAACCGTAAAGCCACCTGAGCCCAAATACAGCAGACGACGGATCACGCAGATCCCGAAGCCTTCGGGTCAGCTGCATCTGTGCCTGTGGAGGCACGTGGGTTTTTCTTGTCGGATTTACCCACTTGCTCAGGCCGTCCCTCAGCTAGGCCGGAGCAGGTACGCAAAAGCACTCCCAGCTCGAAAGCACCGGAAATAACAGCAAAAGTAGTTACGAGAATACGACCCCAGAGGCCCCAACAGCAAGTGTAGCAGAGACTTAGCAGAGGTATTCTAAAGTAGTTCTTCAGAGGCTTCTTTGTCACTTCAGAAGACAGCCTGCGGACTACCTTGGCTCAAGGAAGAAGGAACGACAGATGCCCTGGTTCTATGGGGGTTTGTCCGGGTTTAAGTACCTTCCTTCCCCTTTGATTGGTTATCAGCCGTAGCTCTTGTTTCCCTGGTTTCCTATTCAAACCCGGCCGCAAGGGTCTTAGTGGGTACCACCAAGCCGTACTTGAGTTTGGCGCAGCGAGCGACGACATCGACATCGACGAGCAGCACCTTTTTCGGGAGGATCTGGCAGGGTATTACCCTGAGCTGTCGTTGGCCGTAGCTGCCGTGGTCGAGAGACGGGGTGCTGCCGAAGGCGCACCGAGCGCATCTGGGAAAGCCACCGCTCCAAACGCCAAGGCCAAGTGGCAGCTAAAGGCAAAGGCCAGTGGAGCAACGAGCTCCGAGCCGATGCCGGTACCAGCCACCTGCGAAGGCAAAGGCCAAGTCCCTGGGCGACCCGCTGAGAAGGAGAAGCGGACAGCCAGAGCAGGAGATAGAAGGGGAAGAAGTTGGCCCGGCGCCAAGGCGCACTTTGCTCCGCAGAGCCCGGTTGTCAGTGCCCCGATACTAATGTCAGCAGGCTCCTCAATCAGCGTGATCATATCAAGGTCGACCTAGCGACCATGATAGGACTCTGAGAGTCATCAAAGGTTCTCGAGATGAGTCCATAGCCACTCCAGTGAAACCACGACCAAAAGTCGGAATCCTCACTTTCTGCAGGTTTTCGACTCCAATGCGATTGTTGCACGCTCCCCTGGGCCCAAAGCTGTCTCGGGCCAGTTGCAGCATAATGACTGGGCTGGCCTGTGCAAGCCCATGAGGCATCGCTTGCATGTGCCAGCGGTCGATGCACCCCTGAAGCGTGTCCACAGCACCATCCCCACTGAGATGCTACTCTACTACTACTACTACTACTACTACTACTACTACCACTACCACTACCACTAATACTACTACTACTACTACTACTACTACTACTACTACTACTACTACTACTTCTACTACTACTACTCCTGCTACTACTGCTGCTACGGCTACCGCGACCGCCACAGCTCCTGCTCCTGCTCCA